AAAAAAAAAAAAAAAAAAACAAAAAAAAAAAACAAAAAAAAAAAACAAAAAGAAAACATTGCCTAGATTTGCCCTCATTTTTCATCACTCAAAAGGATGGAAAGAACAAGAACTCAACCACAGCTTGAATTCCATTGCTTTCTCTGCACCTGTGGTCCCAGTTGCCAATCATTAGATTTCCAGTGAATGGCCTATATGGCAGCCATTTGCTAGGCTGTGGGCAGTTCTGTTTGACTGGCAGTCAAGGGCAGTCCCCAGTTCGAAGGGAGCTCCATCGACAGAGTCCAGTAGAACACCTCAGAGTTTAAAAGCATCCAGTTTTTACCTGCTTGGCTGGCTCAGCCTCCATTCATCTGCCCATGGTGTGTAGGGTCCATTCAAAATCCCTAGAAATAAGCCGGTTGCAGTGGCTCATGCCTGTAATCGAAGTACTTTGGGAGGCTGAGCCTACAGGGTCACAGAGGCTAGGAGTTTGAGGGCAGCCTCAGCAATATAGCAAGAGACTCCTATCTCTACTTTTTTTTTTTTTCAATTAGGGTATGGTGGTTTGTGCCTGTAGTCCCAGCTACTGAAGAGGTTGAGGCAGAAGGATTGCTTGGGTCTAGGAGTTCAAAGCTGGGCAACAGAGTGAGACTCTAAAAAATAGAAATTAAAGCTTCTAGAAACAACACAGAAGAGTCAGGGGACAATTAAGGAAATGAACTTGTTTTGTAACCAGAGTAGAGAGGAGGGGTCTTTTCCACATACTTAATGTCTTCCCTCTTTCTTATCCAAAGAAACTTGATCACTGGAGATTACAACAATCTTGGGTAGCTATCACAGAGCTGGAATTAGACAAGGTAACTCTGTATAATAAAATAAATGTAGGTCAGGCACTGTGACACACACCTGTAATCCTAGCACTTTGGGAGGCCAAGATGGGAAGATTGCTTCAGACCAGGAGTTCGAGACCAGCCTGGTGAAGATAGCCAGACCCCCATCTCGATTTGAGACAGGATATAGACTGAGGTTAATAATATTGACTCGAATTCTCACTTGATAGGGCTTCTCTGCCCTCAGAGATTTTAGGTAAGCTTGTCTGGAGCCACAGTTCCAGGACCTAGGTCAGCTCAATGTCTTCTCCGTGATTCCTGCCCCATTTTCCCTGCTGCTCTTTGTTTTGTTTCAGTCCCAGCTGAGTCCAAACTGGGGAAATCGGTCTCCCTTGCCAGTTTCCACAAGAAATGCTATCACACAACGCCTACTGTGATCTTTGCATATGAATTACAGATTGGTAGGGCACTCCTATCGCCAAACTCATGTGTGCTATTCCCAACGGGCTGACTAGCTTTCCCTCAGACCTCCTGGTCATCTGCTGAATGAAAATCCTTCCATCTTGCTCCAGTCTGCTTTCAGGCTGTTGTAAGGACAGTATGGGGTCCTGGCTGAATCCAGACTTAGAATTTGTCTATTTGTTGAGCTTCTTTGGAGGAGTGTTTGAATGTTCAAAAAGCCTTGATTTTGGAGGTCAGGAATAGGTCGATAACATTTATCCTTTGTCACAATAATGCTGTGTAACAAACAGAAAACCCAGTGGCTTCAAGTGACACAGACTTTACTTAGTTCACAAATCTGTGGTTTGGCTGGGTGGATCTTCGGGTGTCCCCTCAGCTCACTCATGTAAAAGCAGGTCATCTACACAGGGTTTGGCAGTATAGTTCATCTGGGTTTTTCTGGGCAAAGGGCTGGCTGGTGGCCATATTTCATTAGCTGATAGTCTGACCAGGCTCTTCTCAGAATATGGCAGAGGAGCCACAAGAGTGAGTGGAAGAACTCAAGGCCTCTGGAGGCACAGTTTAAAATGGACATGCCATCACTTCAGCCACATCCAGCTGATCAAAGCCAGTCATGGGCCAGCCCAGATTAAAGGGACGAGGAGAGATTCCACTTCTTAGTAGGAGCTCAGTGTTCCATTGCAAAGGACATAGAGACAGAGAGGGGCAGACAATTGGGGTGAGTTTTCCATTCCATCTACTACAATGACTGGTTAATATTTGTTCTTGAGTGACCAGAAAGATAAAGTAGCAAGGACAAGGAGCAGGTGGCTGGTATATGTGTTCCTCTCCCTCTCCCCAACCCAGCCTGGGGTGACATGTTTGGAATCTCAGCAGACTGGGGTTAGGAAGAGAAATAAGAGGAGCTAAATCATAAAAGACTCTAGGCAGATAAGGGCTGTTTTCTCCTCTAACCCCACTTTCCACCCTACAGATACTCTGCTAAGGAGCACAGCAAAAAGCACCTCTCCTGGGTGTGGGTTGTGAGGAGGCAGCAGCAGGGAGGACCTGCTAGGGTGTCTTCAGCCACTGAAGATGCTCAGGTAGGTGAGGCATCTTGATAAGGAAGATAGAGCAGGCCACAGTGAGCACATTTGTCCCTGATCATGTGAGATTTCCTCCGGTCCCTAAAAATGACCCAAGGAGACTTTGGGAGGAGAAGACAGAGTTCCCATGTGCGTAAGAGGAGCAAAGAAACTTATAGTTTTGGAATTAATATTAACATAACCTCATTTGTACCTACAGGTTGATGAGAATGTGAACCTAAAAGAAAAAACAACTGAGACCCACTTGATATAAGTAGAGAATTTATTTGGGCCAAGTTTGAGGACTGCAAACCAAGAGCATAGTTTCAAGTTACCCTTGAGTATGGGCTCTGCTTAGCAGCAGGTACCAGTAGGTTTTCGAAGGAAAAGAAGAGGAAACTCCTGAGTTGTTTTCCAAGAATTTCGATGAAAAAAACATAAACTGTTGATTAGCTATACACTGTTCTGTATGTCAAATTCCAAGAACATGGAGATAGTAGATGATACAGTTAGTCAGGAACAACATGCCTTTAAACAATTGCTCCCAGGCATGAGTTCAAGGAGATAGAGCAAAACTGGAGCCTCATACTCCCCTCTCTGGGCCTGAGAAATTTTGCATACCTCATATAGCTCAAACTGCTTTAAGCCATTTTTCTTTTCTCAAGATCTATCTTTCTGTCTGTCTATCTACCATCTTTCTTCCTTCCTTCCTTCCTTCCTTCCTTCCTTCCTTCCTCTCTTTCTCTCTCTCTTTCTCTCTTTCTTTCTTTCTTTCTTTCTTTCTTTCTTTCTTTCTTTCTATCTATCTGGTGAAGCATCTCCTCCAAGAAGGTATACCATCACACTTCCTGAAATTTTTAATGTGCAAAGAATCCTTTTGAGTTATCCTTTCTCCGATTTGCCGGTGGTCCTATATTTCTCACCCACACTCATACTCTGGCTTCTTTCCGGAAGAAGCCTGAGTTAGACTTGCTATCTGACATCTCCTTGCTATCCTGGCCTCCAGTTAGACTTGCTGTCTGACATCTCCTATCCTGATCTTCCTGCTTTCTTTTTCAGTCTCTGCTCAGCATGTGCCTTCCTGGTATGACCTCTCTGCAGAAAGAAAACCTGCAATGGATTTCCTTCCAGGGTCTGACCTGGAAGCTGTTCTGCTGAACTTAACTACCACTCTTTGTGCTGCTTCTAAGGCGAGTTAACAGTATTAGTACATATTTATTAAGTATTCACAAACAAATATTAGGTGCTGGTAAGCTAGTAAGAAAAAGGAGCCCAAATGTATTAGAAGCTAATGGCAATTCAAAACTTGCCTGGAAAGTTTCTTTAGGAGCCAAAGCATGCAAAGAATTGGCAACAGCATAAATATCGTTAATTGAAACCTAGTTAAATACTTTATGGTAATATAAGCCCACATTTCAAGGACTTACCACATGTCACGAACTATTCTAAGTGCTTTAGAAATACAACTGGCCCTCCATATCCCTGGATTCTGCATCTGTGGATTAAAAATAATAATTTTTAAAATAACAATAAAAATACAAATGTTTATGACTATTTACATAGCATTTACATAGTACTAGGTATTATGAGTTACCTAAAGATGATTTAAAATATATGGGAGGATGTGAGTAGGTTATATGCAAATATGATACTGTTTTATATAAAGGACTTGAATATCATTGGACTTTGGTATGAGGGGGTATCCTGAAACCAAGACCCCATGGATACTGAGGGATGACTTATTAACTTATTTAATCATCACAGTTATTATTT